CATGTAACATTTAAAAATGTAATAAACTCTTTAAGCTGATAACATTAGGCATTAAAAGTGTTGAAGTTATACTAACCATATCTTTTGAAGTTTTTTTTATCTTCTTTGATTGGTTTGTGATAATCAGACCAATTAGTTGGTTAAAGGATTCCTCGAAACACTATAAGAAGGTATTAATAACACAGCAAATACAAAACGTGGGCGCAGACAGACAAACTTGAAGAAGATTAAACAGATTGAAATTGTGGGTTTTGAAAACTTTTTAGCCTAATACCAATAAAAGAAGAAGAAAGACAACAGCAAGGAATGATCAAACAACGTCAATAGACGCTGGTTACAGCATTTTGACCGGCAAATACCAGTCTTCATCAGGTTTATTAGGAAGATCACAAAAATGAAGTACTACAGTGGACGGAAGTGATGTAGTAAGCGTTTCTACTTAAAAAAGCACGAGATAGCAGAAAAACAAATAAAGGTATTTTATATACTAAATATAGTTGCAAAAAATAAATCAGTCATCACGGTTATTAATGGCCAGAGGCTCAAGGATCCTTAAATTTGCTTCGCGCGCTTTCCTGGGAGAATCACGTCCATTCTTAAGTTTTGCAGTAGGAATAAAGCCTAGTGCAAACGGACGCAACATTGTTGGATGTTACCTGTTGCGTCCGTTTGCACACCCTGTTGCATGTTGTTGCGTGTTGTTGGGAGTTGTTTGGCAAAGCTTGAAACCGGTCACTTATGGGCCAACAGCTCGCAACATTTCTTTTGTTCAGTAATCGCCAAAGCGTAGAGCACGATGTTGGATCCGTTTGCACAGCTCTTCCAATATAGTTGGGGCCACGCACGAGCATTACACGTAGTCTCCAAAGTTTTATAGGTTGTAACCTTCCCACAATACACTACAGGTCCGACGATTGTTGGGAGTTATTGATTCCACTGGTACGTTGATTCGGGGACGGCGCTTATTCGAGTAAATGTGGTAATTGGCAACATCAATAAATGACACAGCCCCTTCAATGACGTGTTACTTACGTCACTGATGGCGTAAGCATGACCTCAATATATTTAAGGCCTAATGTTATCACTTTAAAGAGTTTATTACGTTTAAGACCAAATGTTAATGTATTTGTATGTGTAATCAAATGGTAACGAGTGAAATTAGGGAATAATTTCACGCTCGTTTTGTCCAAATCCTAATAATTTCCCGAGCCTTTAAGCGAGGGAAATTATTAGGATTTGGACAAAACGCTAGTGAAATTATTCCCTAATTTCACGAGTATACCATTTGATTACCTGGGTTACGAATTACGTTAGCAATCTTGGATTTTTGACATGTTTATCCTGGATCGTATTGATCGAGAACTCCACTCTCTCAAGTGTTTAGACCTTAAATTTGGCTTATAAAGTTCAGAATTTTACAGACTTTTTCGGGTAAATACCTGTTAGAATCCTTCTTGATGTTTTCTTGTGTGTTCAGGTTTTCTGAAGCGTCTTTTTGTGCCCTGACATCTTCATTCATGGCATTTTAAAACTTCGTCGCCATCTTGGCACTGAGACGTACGGAAGGTTGCCATGGCAGTTTTGTAATTTCACATGGGAAATTACAAATTAACGCTGAAATTTCGCGCCAAAATTAAGGAGTAATTCGTCACCTATGATAGTAAGGACTTTATTACATTTAGGCCTTCGAAATCTGTGCCGGGACGGGTTTGTTGAACTCCTTTAATGTACTGGTTTTGGAGGCAAAATTCAAGACAGTGTGTTTCATGGTAGATATTTAGATACTAACCATTTATCCATTATCTATTATTATTATTATTATTATTATTATTATTATTATTATTATTATTATTATTAATTGATATTATATAATGCATCTTACTATTCTGCCTTCATCATAAATATCAAGAGAGATTATATCTTAGCGCACCGACGGGGTTCGTCACGCGTTCCTTTGTGGGGAAGGAACGCGTGTCAAACCCCTCAGAACGTCTGCGTGGGAGGCTAGCTGAAGGTGAAGTTGTCTTCTTCGTGCACTTAATTCTTATAGCTCTGACAAGTCACTTTGGAATACTAACGTGCATTTCATCACTAATTGAGGATCAGTAGCCCAATGAGTTTTTATGAGTTTCATTAGCCCTCCGAGACAACTTCATCCTATTCAATGTTAAACATTGTTAGACTTCAAAATTCGCTAAGTGTAAACTAAAAGTCATTGAACTTTACTATATTAAAAATAGTCTCGCTGCTTACATGTATAACTAACTAAGTAAAGCAGCAACGTAAGTGAATTTTTAGTCTTGTTACTGAAGAGCGACTTCGGGCGAAAGACGCCCTTTTTCCTCTTTCTTTTCTTTCTCTTTTTTTGTTTTTTTGTTGTTGTCGGTTGTTGTTGTTTTTTTTACCAAAAATGGGATTCGTTTATTGTTTTGCGTCCTTGTAATCCTGCGGTCATCTACCTATACGTTAAGGATCACTTAGTTGTGAGCTCAAGAATATAAAGTATTGCTCTTGCGAATAACAACAGGCGCCTTCTCTCAACAAACCTCCCTCGGAGGGCACAGGTGAGACATTCCGGCCGCTACATTACAATAATTTAATAGCTCCGTCATAGCCAGTTAAACCGGCCAAAGTCTAAGCTTAACTCATTTAAAAGATTCTCCCTGAACATTTTTCCGTTTAATCTTTAATCTTTAATCGTTACAATAAATTCTAATACAATGACTAACATCCTAAAACCTAAAAATCCAAATCCTAACATTATATTAACTTACAACAATATGCCACTTAAAAGAACCTGATTCCCATGAAAGCCGTGTTTGAAAATTATGATAGAGAAGGCGTTTAAATTGATTTAATGAACCAGACTCTCTAATGTTACAGGGAAAGCTGTTCCAAAGCTTAATGCACCGCTGTAACTAAAACTATTTTTCATGTAGTTAGTTCTTGGAAGGGGGACAACAAGTTTGTTTACCCAGTTCCTCAAAGAATGATTTGATTCATTTCGCTTTATAAATTTAGACGTAAGATATGCGGGAACCAGCCCGTTTAAAGACTTGAAAACCAGTAAGGCGTTATGAATTCAAGTCTTTCCAAATGAGTTTGTGAAACAAGGAATCGACATCTACGTCAAAGTTTGGTGAAGTTATACGTGCAGCATGGTTTTGTGGTTTTTGTAGCTTGTTAGATAATGTTTTGCCACAATTACCCCATACTAGGCTGCAGTAATCAAAGGGAGATTGAACTAGTGAGTTGTATATATTGAGTAGGGCGGATTGAGGCATAAATGGCTTAACTGGCTTTATGGCTCCAATGCAGAAGCGATCTTTTTTCACAGTTTATCAATGTGGGAATGCCACGTTAAGTTTTCAGCGATATATATTCCAAGTGATTTCATAGAGGAAACTTGTTCAATCGGAACATTATCAATAGATTGTTCGAGTGTATCATATAGAGTAATTAATCTTTGCCGGAGCCGATCAACATAAATTCAGTTTTTGTAGCGTTCAAGGTAGGTCTGTTAGACACAAGCCATTTGCTTAGCTTTTCAAGGTCGTCAGATAGACTAGACTGAATCAAATGCAAATCAGAACCGGCATAAGTAATGTGGGTGTCATCAACATACATTCTTGGTATGCTGAGCGATAGACAGTTGGGCAAATCGTTAATATAAATTATAGAAATAAAAGAGGGACAAGGATCGCTCCCTGTGGTACACCACATTGAAGAGTGGTGAAGTCAGAGAGACAACCGTTAACTGAGCACCGTTATGTGCGATCCGTCAAATACGATTTAAACCAATCAAGAGTTTTACCTTGAATTCCACACCGATTCATTTTAGTTAGTGATATCTCACGATCAACAGTGTCAAATGCCTTTTTAAGTCGAGAAACACTACGGCATTGACGTAGCCACGATCGATATTAAACGCCCAATTAACTGTCAGTGGCTTCTGGAAGTACAGTAACAATTGAGTGTTTGACACCGGAAACCAGATTGTTGTTTAGAGATGATTTCTTCACTATTTAAAAAGTTGTATAACTGATCGTACACAGTCCTCTCGAACACTTTGGCGACTACGGAAATGACTGAGATAGGTCGGTAGTTGTTTAAATCAAATGACTCGCCCTGTTTAAATAACGGAGTCATTCGGGCACATTTCCAGTCGTCAGGAAATATGCCAGAGATCAGAGATTTATTAAACAGATCGCATAACCTGCCTGAAATAATATCAGTACACTCACGAATCAACCTAGCAGAGATAATATCTAGCCCTGTAGCTTTAGTTTTTGACAATCTATTTAGATGGGTAAAGACATCACTGGTAGCAGTTAGACGAAAACAGAATTTGTTGTAATTTTCAGTTATATTTTTTAAATAAATAGACTCCTCGTCCGAAGTTAATGGTACTTCGCGCGCTATTCTGGGCCCAATAGTTAAAAAGTGTTCGTTAAAGGCGTTGGAAATCTCGTTAGAGTTACAGATAAAGATGTCATTTACTTTCACATCCTTTACTATCTGGTTGTTCTGACGACAAAACATGAGGTTGTTAATAGTTTTCCAAGTCCTTCGAGCATTTCGTTCGGATTGAATAAAACTATTGTGATAACAGGATGCCTTAGTGGTTTTCACTTTATTGTTGATTCGATTTCGGAGCTTTCCGTAATTGCCTCAGTCTCGAGGATTCTTTGTTTTTATCGCTTTCCTTTTAGCAGCATCTCGACAGCGCATACCTTTCTTCAAGGCTGAATTAATCCAGGGTGTTTTGTTCAATTTAGCACGTCTAGTTCGAAAAGGAGATTGTGAGTTAACAGCACTCAAATATTTTGTTTTCCAGTTAGACCATACCAAATTTGGATCTTCCGATTCACTGAACGACCAGTCATGTTGAGAGATTTCATTTCGAAAATTTTCACATAAAAAATGTTAAAACGTTTACTCTACAAGACGCGATTATAGCTAAAGCTTTACGATTCTGACCTTTATTGTGGCAACAATCTCCTTGTAGGAGGGTAGAGATTTACGGGAAATTACCAGGTACTTGATATAATATTCGAAAAAGTGAAATTAATCAAGGAGACATAAGATAAACTACCATTTTTTCTTTTGCTTAAGACGTGTTCAAGTTTCATTACGGATACCATGACCCATGCAGCTAGAGGCCAGGACACTTACAGAGGCATTTGAAGTCCATGCTTCTTACTAGCAAATACCCAGTTTGTGGTATGGAGAATAGTTGGTAAAATTAAGAGCTGCCAGGCCCTCCTGTTCTCCTTGTAAATTTTTCCACGATCTCCTTCTCACATGACGACGGTGCCCACAATTGTTGTCACTCATACCATATGCGCATCCAAAGCTTTTAAACTAAAGATCATTTAGACGTGTTTCAGCTTTTGGTCCTTAAATCGTTTGGTTACTCTTTCTGAAGATTTTAAAAATTACAGCGGATTCTTTTTTCCTACCAGCCTAATGATTTTTGCTTGTACTCGAACTCGCTTTTAGTGTAAACTGTTTTAACGTTGTTTAATCCATACGCGTAAGCTCACATGATTTTCCTTAGATGTCATACAATGTTAATGATATGCATAAGTTTAATTTCTACACCTTTCATGAGCTCGGTTTTGTAAATCCTTAATACTGAGAGTAAAGTTGTAAAAATTAAAATGTGTGGAATCCACCGTCATAACGTTACTATCCGCCTTCATTTTAATATTCGACTTTCTACAGTACTCACCCATTAATTGTCATTCACTATTTTTTGTTCCCCCATTGCAAATTTAGATATCTGTTTTAACTGATACAGCCCCTTAAGAAAGCATTTAAACTGCAATAAACATGTTTTACCTTCCATCTTTAGTTTGTAAATTTCCGAGTGATGTCTTCCTATGTCAGAGAAATGTGATAGCAAATGTCTATTTATGTCCTTATTATATGGTGGTCCCTCAAGGCTAGTAAGATGAAGGGAGTCTTATGTTTTGATTGGCTACCCGAGAGGGCAAGATTGGCTTATCTTTACATTTGTTTTCTTTAGAAAATCTAATTACTGTTCTTTAATCGACTTCAAATTTAGTGCAATTATGTAACTTGCTCAATTGACCCTCCTATTAAGCACATTCCTAAAACCGCCCGGCTTACTGGTCCCCAAGGAAGGAGTCATATGTGATTTTTTATAATGCTGGTGTTGAATACTACCTTTAAATTCTGTCCTTTCCATACAGGACCTCCAGGACCTCCCCAATACCTCGAGACATTTAACACAAGTTACAACTACATACGTATTAAGTGGGAACCACCCCTCGAATTCTTTGATGAACCAATGAGCGGCTACATTGTAAAAGTGACAAACTTTGGGGACCCAGGTGCGGTGGTACGATTGGTATACTCCAGCTGCCAGACAGGAGGAATTGATATTACAGACCTCGAAGAAAAATTAGCGTACTGTGTTTATGTGACAACATTTAATGAATATGGAAAATCGAACAGCAGTTCGTGTTTGCCAGTATTCACTGGAGAGAAAGGTTGGTTTCTTTTATTGATATTGATTGACTGATTGATTGGTTGATTGATTGATTGGTTGATTTACTCTCCATGAAATTAGTGCAACTGAGAAAGAAAAATGACGATAGTAGCCGCAGCCTTCAGCGGATAAAAATAAGCTTCCCGGAGATGTGTGTAATGAATTTCGTTTTATTATTCTGCATTCAAAACATTTTCAAACTCAAAATCATTTCCACATATAATTTCTTCAAAACATTTTCCCGATCCTGGGCAGTTTCTTAATAAGAAAGCATGCTTCTTGGGCTGCCTGTGGTGGCAGAGCCGCAAATATAGGTGTGAGTAGCTTGTATGACGAAAAAAGAAGGAGGAAGTTGCGGGGGGAGGCGTGTCCGATATAATCAAATTGACTTGGAACAAAAACAAAATTCCGGCGTGAAGTTACAACTAAATTTCACAGTCATTCGAATTCAGTATACCCCCGTGACTTCAATTCAGTGACCACAAAATAAAAGATTGAATTAAATTAAAAATTTAATGTGACTATAGTACAAATAAAAGTTTCAGTTTTCTGGCCTTAGCAAGCCATTTGTCTCTTCAATGCCTTTGAAAGGGGAAACAGAAGCACATTTTGCACAAAGAATATTTTTGCAGAATTTTGTCTCTTAGCATGCTCAAAAAACATGCACTCATTGAAATATTTGTCATTTTTCCAACTACATGTATTATAATGTTTTCAAGCGCTTATGAGTTAAAGCCACGTTTGAATATTCAAATCCTTGATTACATTTTTGGCCTCATGAAACATATGCTTGTCACTATCTGATGAGCCCGATATACCGAACAGTTTCGGAGACTGAATTATTTTTGAAAAATCCCAATTTTTACAAAGAATGTGTGAGCTTATTGTCGTTTTTGCCACTAGCAATTTCGCAGTTTTTGATTGCTGCTATTTGCTTTGTTATTGGTTGAAAAGAGCTGAAACCCGCACAAATTGCTCAAATTAACCAGCTCTCTCTGAATAATTTGTATTTACGGCGAGGTGTTCTATGGTTTAGCTCTACGTATGCTAATAAGCAAAACAATGACGTCAGCAAGGATTCGGTTATTAGCCATTTCCATATAGGCCGTAATGCACCTTATTTACCCCCTCATATTTTGCACATCCATTCTCTTCGATTTCTCTTAGGACGACTGTAATACACAGGAGAAATTGGAAGCAATAATGGTTATGCAAAATGGGGGAGGGGGGACGGGTTTAAACAAGGTACATTTTAGTCCATGTCAAAATGGTGAATAAAAGCTTACCTGATCTTTGACATGTCATGTGTTGTGTAAGTCCCAATTCAAATGAAAAAATGATCCGGCTCTAACACACCGTCCACTATTTAAACCTCATTGTTGCCACTTGGTCCCTCCCATGATTGGTTGTAAACTCATGTAAAAGACACGTATAATACGCATTGAAATTCTAAATTGGCCCAAAGCACTAAAGCATTTTTTTTCAGTTCAGTCATAAAACAGGGGCAACAAAGACTGTTTTCTGTAAAATATCTGTCCGGAGAAGCAAATATTACCTAGAATTTTCTATTAGTTGACGTTTCATTCATGCACAATTTCCGAAGCTTATCTAATAAATTCCCTACGATTTTCTGAACTTTAATTTTTCACATTTCGCTCCCTAGGTTAGGCTATTTCTCGTAGACAAAAGGAAACCTAAATCAAAAATACAATAAAGAGAGAAATCAGAAAAATTCTCACTTTCGTAATACGTTAAATTGCCTTTAAAATTTTCGAGAAAATAATGCTGAAGCCCTTCTTGGAATTCCGAAAAAACTTAAATTTTCCTAAGATGACCGAACAGATGCAAATCTTATAGCGGCACTTAGAATGCATTTCTGGAGACCTACACGTACTCTGGATAGCCTAAAAAAAGTTTAGAAGGAGACCTTCGTAGGTTGCCCTGCTAAAAAGAGGAATTGCAGGATGATTTTGAATTAGGACCTTGGCGATTAGAAAGTAAAGAAATGAATGACTGAAAATATTCAAATACCGTTTCAGAATTCCATTTGTATCTCCAATCTTTTATCTTTCTATAGTAAGAGTGGAGTTTACCGCATTGAACCAGAGCTCAACGTCTCGCGAGGTGGAGTGGAACACAACTTTACCAGCTTTTCTTACATATGGCGATGAAAAGAGAGGATTTAAAATAGATTTTCAAAGAGCGAGAGATAAGGAAGTTAAAAGTATACTAGTCTGCAACAGTTCCAGTTATCTATTTACCGATCTGATGGTATTCACAAACTATTGTTCAAGCGTGGTGTCTTTCAACAATGACAAAATTGACACGAAAGTGGATAATTTCAAATGCGTGTTCACGGACGAAGAAGGTAATAATAACATCTGTGTTCGTCCGTGTTTTGTTTGCGATCCCCTTATGTTTACAGGCTCATGTATATATACGAAACATGTTCAGATACAGTCAGTCATTTTCATGTTCATTGGTGAAAAAAATTGAATTGAGTATTTCTTAACCTTTAAAGATTAATATAGAGTAGTATCTGTCTAGTATAAGAATAGATAATTAAAAATGGTTTACATGGAGGTGGGCGACCCCAAGTAGGTGAGGTACCCCCCTTTGGTGGGGTAGCCCGCCTGGCTTACAACAGGGTCTCAATGGGGTTAACCGATAGGCGTAAAACGGCCAAAAATTTAGTCGATAGCCGTAAAAATGGAAAAATTTTACCCATAGGGTAAAAAAGTTAACCGTAAAAGAAATTGTTTCTTAGATTTGTGTTAAACTCACTTATGACCGGTTGCGTCTCTTACTTCGCGGCTTCTTAAACTCCTTACGCACGTAAGGCCTTTTCAGGATTCACAGGAGTCTTACTTGACTTCACTTGGCCTGTGTTTTGTACGACGAGTTGACAGCTCCTTCTTTTTAGATCTCCAATTTCGCCATGCAGTGTTCGCATGAGTAGTCTCCTTTGCAGCCGTTTTTTGGCTCGTAAGAACGGCTGCGAAAGTGACTAACATATGACTTAATCGATGTCAGTATTGAAAGCTGTTGTTAGTATTTTTCCAACGGGTGAAAAAAGGTCAATCGAAACACCCTCCCGCAACGCGAGACATTAGGAGCATTGGACACTTTCAACATTCAAGAAAAACGTTATTGTTTTCTTTATCTAAACGAGCAAGCCAGGAAATTTGGTCTAAAAACTGTAAAGCCTCGCCAAAATCAGCGGCAAAACAGAAAATTATTCTTTATCGACCCAGCAGCAGCTAAATCTGAAACTACCCCTGTTGTTGTTGGAAGCCAGCTGGAAAGTAAGTACCTTTAAATTCAGTATTGAATTCTATACTAAGATACCGCGTGGTATAAAGTTTTTGTGAGAGTTTTATCTTGACGATGGCAAAATAAAACTTCCGTAGAAACGTGTTTGCAAGAACTAATTTTTTCCTTAGTGAAAATCTGATTTTTTTTTGTTGGGGATTAATATTTGCC